TTTCCCAGAAGGCACAAGAAACCATGGTGATGGAATGCTTGAATTTAAAAAAGGAGCCTTCAATGTTGCCGTTTTTGTTAGTTTACTTCCCGATTTTTCTTTTTTCTGGGATTCGATGTAACAGAATAAAGGGTTTTTAACAGATTTTTTTAATCGTTTTTTGAGCAGGAATTCATTTCAAGTAGGACTTTTCCAGACCTGAATACAGCAGAACAGGAGCTACGTTTTTTTGATATCAGTAGATTCCAGAATTTTTTCCGTAGAAACGGGAATAAGTTGAATCGAAAGGCATAAATTTATGGCGGAAGAGGCGCCAGTGTCAGGATTTCGAAATGCACTGGACAGCTAAATTTTCGAAACAGCTAAACTTTACGTGCATAAATTGGGCGTTAATGCTTTAGTTTGAACAAATTTGGAAAGTAGCGGAAAAGGCAAGGTTGTTTTTTTTTGTCAGGAGGCATCTTTTTTCAGTTTTTTTTCCACAATTCATTCTTCAGTGCGGCTGATTGAGATCTCATATTATTTCGTAAGCCATCCTATTGGTAGTCTTTGTAGCTTGCATTCAATTATTTCAGGCACAAATACCAATTATTCCAATTGTTATTTCCTCTTACAAACCATTCTACTCCAAAGAGTCACGGTGCTTTGCTGATTCGGGTTATGTTGTGGTTGAAGTTATGGAGCCTATACAGACTACTGGTGTAAGTTACCTTCGTAATCCACCAGTGCATTTCAGTGCTGTTGCTATTGCTCTTATAGTTTATTCTTTTTCATCCCTAAGTTTCACAACATCTTAGTTGATATAATTTGTTTTCCCCTATCGAAAAACGTGAGAAAATAAAATTAAAGGAACTTTCAGTCGAACAGCTTTTTCATTTACGGTCCTGCATCAGAGCCATACCCAGAAAATTTGCATGTTCATATCCCTATTGCTTTGGTGTTTGGAAGAAATATGCGGAACGTAATTTGCAATTCCGCTTTGATTTTCTGCCAATTTCTTTCACCTACGAATTGACAGTGGAGGAATGAAGAAGTCTGAATTAAAAAATTCCTTCATCCTGGATCCACTTCATGGAGT